TTTTATATTATATTATAATATTTAAATAAGATTACAATATATAATATATTACAGTAGTTAAAAAATATTAAAATTGCTTAATAGTGCAGATATTTAATACTAATCAATAATATTGAAGTTTTGAAAAAATGGTGAAGGAGCCGGACATAGTTAACTGAAACCGTGAGAACTTCAAAAATTTCAGATTTTGTATTAGGAGAGCATAAGTAAGGTAAGGTCGTTTTCCCGCCTTACTTTCATGATCGTTAAGTTTTAGTGTTATTATTATTTTTCCTGCTTTAACCACGTAGTGGCGCTGTAAACGCTAAAAGTAGAAGTGTATTTAAATACTTATAAAATTGAATATCATCATTAAAATCAAACAGCACGGACTAATAATCAACAACGGTTTATTACACAATAGAATTATCATAATTTTGAATCAAAAATTCTAAGTTCTGCCTTATTTCATAGCTCATAAAATCAAGTTATTGTATTTCTTGAGTAGTTATCCAACGGCAGCGGTTGAAGACAACGTGCATTTCCTACTTACAGCAAGTTAACTATCTATGGAGTTAACCAACAAAAATGGAGTTGTTTTCTTAATCTGCAACATAATCGAAAATGCTGATTACTCTGCTAATTAAGCAAATATGCTGTAAATTCTTTGACGATCGATGGAAGACAGTATTAAAATAGTTTTAATGATTCCTCAAACCCTCGGGGTCGAAAAAATTACTTAAATGAATCTTCTGTATTTTTACAAATGTATCATAATAATCAAATAATTTAAAGGTATGCAAGTAAAAGCACTATATAATGTTTAATTGAACATGGTGAAAGAGATTCTCTAAAGAGCAAATCAAGCTAATAAGACTTTTGTCTGCAGTCATAGTAAATGCACTCCATACCTACTGGTTTTCAAAAGGAAGGATTTATGCAAGGCTTTATAATCGAATTGGCAAAACTTAAATATATACAATAATAATAAAGGTTTAAATAGAAGACTAATATTTCTTTACACATTAATTATAAGAATTTATTTCAGACAGTAATCATCCCTCTTCTCTGCGGAGAACATACCAGGGCAAACAAGAAAAGCATAATTCCATTTTAAAATCCATAAAAATAATATAGAAGACAACTACTTACAATATTGAAGTGCTACTGATCGTATTCATGTTATAACTTTGTCAAATAGTTTACATGTTTTACAAAAAACAGTTTTTTTATTGTAAAAATCATCGACATAGACAAATAAACACATATTATCTTATAGTATTTTTTAATTGGTGAAGCATAAAATATTAGAGAAAACACTGTGCTACAAAAACTTAATTACATTTTGGTAATCTCAGTCCTTATAAAAAGGCAGAAATTTACTTTTCAAAATCTGTTCGCACATTACATATCTGTACCAAAAAACCTTTAAAATTAGGGGTGCAAAATGCCTTCAGGTTATTTCTAACCATACAGTAGTTATATGTGGTATCTCCCAATAATTGTCCTTAGATATTGGCAATCTCAGTCCTAAAAAATTATTTAATTTTCAAAATTTATATACCTATACCTATACCTTAAACAACAAAAAATGAAGGGTGAAAAATGCTCACCGGTTATATCTGACCATATAGTGGTATTCCCCAACAATTATTACAACATATTGGCCTCTATAACAAAAAAGAAATTTAACTTTCGAAATATGTATGCACATTACATATAACAATTAACAATATAAACTATGGGTGCAAAATGCCCGTCGTTTAGTTTTAACCGTATAGACCTTAAATGCATGCATCCCTCAATAACTTATATAAGATTTTGCTAATCACTGCCCCTATAAAAAGTCACCTAAAAAATAGGCGCAGAAAAATGCGCCTCGAGCCTTCAATCTGTCCAACAGTTACTTTAAAACTTTTAGGGGAAGACAATTATGCAAAAAAATGGTAATAGCAATTTTTTAATTTGATTGGATCTAAGGACAGTATCAAAAACGCCTAAAAAATCGGTGCAGAAAAAAGCGCATCTTAGATTTTAACCTGTTAATCAATTATTTTAAAACATCTAGGGGATGAAAAGTATGTAAAAATGCTTGGAGAATTTAGTGGTGGTAATAGTTTTTAAATTTGATTGGAGGTAAGGACGATATTCATGAGCAGATATCAAAAACGCCTAAAAAATCGGTGCAGAAAAAAGCGCATCTTAGTTTTCAACCTGTTAAACAATTATTTTAAAACATCTAGGGGATGAAAAGTATGTAAAAATGTTTGGAGAATTTAGTGGTGGTAATAGTTTTTGAATTTGATTGGAGGTAAGGACGGTATTCATGAGCAGATATGAAAAACGCCTAAAAAATCGGTGCAGAAAAAAGCGCATCTTAATTTCAACCTGTTAAATATTTATTTTAAAACATTAAAGGGATGAAAAGTATGTAAAAATGCATGCAGAATTTAGTGGTGATAATAGTTTTTAAATTTGATTGGATGTAAGGACGGTATTCATGAGCAGATATCAAAAACGCCTAAAAAATCGGTGCAGAAAAAAGCGCATCTTAGTTTTCCACCTGTTAAACAATTATTTTAAAACTTTCAGGAGGTGAAAATTACGTAAATATGCGTGTGGGATCTAGTGGTGATAATAGTTTTTGATCGGATATAAAGGCGTTACTGATTTATGAATGTCTTAACTAACAAAATGAACAGATTTTTACTGTAATTTGAAGTACAAGTATGTGAAAGTAAATATGATTCTATTTTCTTGATATTCCTAAAAATAAGATGATGAAAAAATTTTTAAAGAACATTTGATTGTTGTTTGCGATAATCTTTATTGCGAACAAGTTAATACGGAATAACAATAACCGATACACATAAACCCGTATTCATTACTTTGGAAACTCTGTCAAGTTCAATCAGTGTAGTTTAACTCGAAACTCGTTTAGCATAAATTTACATTAACTTACATATATTAGATAATGTTTTGGTTAATAATGGGATTAAAAAATACAGACCTAAATGTAAACTTTTAAGGAATCTACACTTACATATCTAAATGAAATATTTAAAATAGGTTATAGAACTAAGGTCGCAAATTAGGGCTACTCAATACATTTAAGTATTTATTACCTTTATCTATGTATGTAATGCTATTGGTATATAAAAAGGTTTTACCAATTTTTTTTGGCGTAGTTTAATTTGTTCAATATTTCTGATGGTACGAAACGAAAATTGTTTGGTCTTTGTTTGTTCATATTTATTAAAAATAATTTGATTCTCAATCAGTGTTTGGTTTGTACCTAGTCATTACGTTTAATGTATCAGAGAGTTTATTCATCTTCCATTTATTTTATTGCAACAAAAAATTAATTCAATTTGTAATACGAATGATAACCTGATCTTTGAGATATATATCAATATAATCGATTAGCGATCAAAACTAAAATTTTTCGATCATTTATAACGATTTGTAACAATTGACTGGCTAATACATCGAAAAAAGTTTAGCAATGACCTTTAGGTGAGTACATATGCATTACCTATTGATTGATTTCCTTTTTAAGGAACAAAACTTTTTCTAAATTATGACATTGAAGCACCAATTTACGCTGTAAATTGGTAGGTACCAATAGCCATGATTTTTGACAAGGACTACTCCAAAATAATTTATTGTGGAACTATAAAACACGATAAACTATCTTATTATTGTTCTCAATATCAAGATACTTCGGAGCCGACAGTAGTAAAATCATCGATTGGTAGAAATTAGAAAAAAATAAATAAATAAAATCGGTGTTCTTTTGATTATGGTCGATTGCATGCTATAATATAATCTTGAGGACAATTTTTATAAGTACTTTAACGTGCGTGTTCAGAATTTATTTCGAACTTCTGCTCTTCAATGATATTATGATAATTAACATTCTAAAAACGTTTTTCTTTATTATTCCTTAGCTGAAAATCACGAAGGATACCTTTAGTTCGTTCCAGTATCAGTACGAACTTGGTTTGTTGTTTATTTATTTAAAAATGTTCGACAAAATAGCAGCAGTTTTGATTCTAGCGTTTCATCTTTGTGGTAAGTCCCTCTTTTAAGAAATTTCCACACAACAAAATTCATTGGAACTTATAAAAGTGAAATTTCTCCAATTCTTATTCCTTCAGATACTTAACAATATCTTACTTCGATCGACAGCGGTTATTATACAATACTTTTGAAGTATTTATTATCAAATATCCAAAGCACTATCCAAATAAAGTTTGTTGAAGCAATATTCGCGTTTTTAATTCCACTTTTATAAGTTAATACCATCATCAAACGTTGCATAATTATTTCACTTAACAAAATTCATTACAAAAACACTTTATCGTTTCCAATTAGTAACTGTTTGTTAATTTGAAGAAGAAATTACAGTAAAACAATTGACTAACAAGGACTAATAATTTTTTGTTTCATTTTCAGAGGCCTCGTACCATTGCTCGCAATATCAGAAACTAAACATTCTTCAAACTTTAGTTAAAGAACCGTTTTCGACAAACCTTTCCAGGGAAGACGTAGTGTTTTACCTATACACCAGAGAAAATCCTACAGAACCCGTCAAACTAAGTCCGAAAAAATTCGCGAATCATTTTACAAAAGGTCCATTTAAAATAATAGTTCATGGGTGGATCGAGCACGCAAAAATTTATTGGTATATTTCAATGATAAAGGCGTACTTGGAAAAGGACGATTACAACGTTATAGCAGTGGATTGGTCAAAAGGCACTACTACCAATTATATCTCATCCAGTTACAATGTCGTTCCTGTAGGAAAATATCTCGGACTTTTTATAACTGATCTGGTTAAGCATTATGGGGTCCGATCGGATGATATTCATGTTATAGGGCATTCTCTTGGGTCTCATATTGCAGGAGTGGCAGGGAAGGATGTGTACAATATTTTTGGGAAGAGAATTGGGAGGATCACGGCGCTGGATCCTGCAAGACCATTTTTTGAGTTACCTGTTTCTTGTGAAGAAACACGTTTGATAGAAAGTGACGGAGACTTTGTTGATGTTGTTCATACTGATGCTGGAATTTTTGGGTTCAAGGAACCTCTGGGAAATGTCGATTTTTACCCTAATGGAGGATCAGCGTTTCAACCAGGATGCCAAAATATCAGCCGGCTTTCTGACAGTAAGTCTAATTTATTTTGATTCATTTTATGCGTTTAATTCACAATTTATGGTGATAATTTTACACAAACAACCAAATCAGGCGCCACCTTTTGTTAGAAAATGATGTTCTTGATTTCTGTTATACTTGTTGCTACTACTCGACCCTACAAATCCAAAAACTTACCTTTTTGTGATAATAATAAGAATTATAGGGTGTCAAATTGGTCAATTAACAATCTAAAAATAATCTAGCTAAATCTAAAGGTAATTGTTTTAGTTTAATTATACTATTTCGACTAAAAAATATCTAATGACCCTGAGAAACGTAGTACATAAATAAATCGTCTCTAAGTTATATCTATGGTTTTGATTTTACTTTCTACATTTTTCATTTAATTAATGTAACATTGGTCTGATTGATTAATAGCGGGGACAGAGATGAAGCGATTTTTATTTAAGTAACTGTAGAATTAGTGAAACACTTTCATCATCGTTTAAATCATCTTACCTTTAACGAATTATCCAATAAATTATGTTATTATAATTCCAGTCGTGGATCCAAAGATGCGTACGCACAACACGATAAATTAGTCAGTATAATGTTAATAATAATTTAGTACGTTTTATAAAATAAACAACTATGCGGCAAAAACCCGACGGATACGATATTTTATTAGACAACACGCAGTCTTTTCGATTGCGATAAGTGTTATCGAAGTGACTCAACAAAAGTTGTTCCGAAGGATGTAGGCTGACCTTCACCTTGTCCTTTCACTTTCCCTGACTAGACGATGATGCAATATACGTAACAATTTGAAATACGATACTAGGCAGTAATATTACATCTCCAGTCTATTAAAAAGAAGGATGTGGTTTTATAGTCAACAGCAAATTATTTGTAGAGTTTATGTACAGTCAACGTAAAAATTAATGACATGATCAAAAGTCTTCACTTAAGGATGTTTGGGAGGTGCAATCGGAGACAAGAATACATAAAATTAGAAATTTGTTATTAATTAGGTTTTGCATATCATGAAGTAAATAAATACTATCTATACTAAAAAAAAGTATACGGTTTGAGAAAAAAATTGGAATTTGACCAAAAACTTTGAATAAAATAAGAAATAACGAATAATATGGAAAATTTTTAACTGACTTTTGGCAGTGAATATGCCTTGATTTCAACTTCGAAACAAAAAAATATTTAGTTTCAATCTCTATTAATAATGAGCGTAAAACTTTTTAATATGTTTAAATAATAATTAAAACTTTAAAATTGCATTTATTTCAGACAATTATAAATATTATCATTATATTATCAAGTAAAAACGAGATTTTCAGCTAATTTTTCATTTTTTCCTCGATAACCATTTAGTGAATTTGAATAACCTTACGCTAAAGTGATTCTCCAGAGTTCAAGTTACTTATTATAAAAGTTTGAAATTTCTAGTAGCTTTTTTTCTGTTAATAAAAATAAATTTAATCTGTTCGGTTAACGAATCTCCATAAAATGATGTGTAAAATTAGAATTTTTTAAAATTTCAATAACTTTTTAACGGTTTAGCGAATCGATTTGTAATTTTCACAGGAGTTTTAGAATTGAATGAGGAACGTTCTTCCAAATTTTTATTTGTCTCGCAGCATTTTGACATACCTCTCAAACATCCTTAAAGTTGTCCTACTAAATAATATATACTATATCTGTGAGTCTGTTTGTAATGCAAATTGTAGCTATTCATTTTAACCGAGTTATTATTTATAATAATAAATAATAATGGATTTCTTTAAACTTATGCAAATATTTAACTCTGTCCCATCTCCAGTTTTTTATGCTGTACAAGTACAAGAGCATCTTCCTGGAGGTTTCTCGCTACGTCAATGAGCCATTTGTTCTTTTTCAGTTTTCTGTAGTCACAAAAGAAGTCATGCCTATTATATCGAGTCAATAAATTCGAGTCCCGTAATGGCTCAGGATTGTGATAGTTGGAATTCCTTTCAACAGGGTCGTTGTAACAGAAATAAACAAATACCTTTCGGGGAATTGGCGCCTAGTGACACAAAAGGGACCTTCTACTTTGCCACCCGTCAACAAAGTCCTTTTCTATCTTATAGATGACACGGGTTTTATTTTAATTCTTAATTGTACCCATAATTGGTTTTCTTTACAAATAAAAACCGATTAACACGAAACTGTACTAGTCCGATGATTTTGTTACTATTTAAAAACAATTAAAGAATAATAAATAATAAGTATTAGTTAATTAATTATTTTGTTTGCTTTTCCTTTCCGATGAAGTTTATTGAAGCATTGCAGTAATTTTAATTAACTGATCAAGTTATTTGATTTGAAATCAAACTAAATAGGGATTGTCGTAAAAGATTCATCAGGTAGGGTATCGACAAAAGGGACAAATCGGTCTAAATAGGCTGTTGCTACTCCGTCCCTGATAATAAATCCGGATCCGGTCCGGATGCTGATAGGACCTGCCTTAACAAATAGCCATAATAAAAATGACGAAACTCGGAAAGATTAAAGTTGCTTATCGTTGCTTTATGCCAATTATTTCTCTTAAAATATCTAGCATCATCAAACACTAATTTTATGATTAAATATTGTTTAATTTTATATTACAAACTTGCTTCTAATATAAACTTTAAACATGCTTAACGGTATATTATATTACATTTAACAGTCAATACTTTTCTACGTAAGTAAGTATAAATATTTAAGAAAGTATAAAGTTTTCTTGTCTATTTGCATGTATCAAGTTTGTGCACGAGTATAACGGTTGTCTAAAAACTACTATGTAAATTGATTGTTTTTTTTTATATATATTTCACATTTAATTAAACTCTTAATTCTCATTATTAAAGTAAGTATAAATTGTCAGGAAGTCAGAGTTATAATTATCTAATAATTATTACCTAAGTTAATTTGAAGCTGTTGGAGGACTGGAGTTATTTTGACTTTGATTGTTTTCATTTTCCTCTTCGTCTTCGTCTTCTTCGTCATTTTTGGATTCAGTTTTGACATTGTCCGTGTTCCCAGTCAATGCGCGATACTTTTTGGCAATCGATTCCCAATCTGCGACATGTTCAATCCTTGTTGTTTGTATATTAAAACTCATTTGTGACCCCAAAGGACTGAAGTGAGTAGTAGAGACTGTGAGCGATTCCTTTGGAGCAACCTGACTTCCCTTTTTGACTTTGGAAAGCCATTTTGCACCGGCCTTCGATCTTGGACTCAGCTGTTGACCTGCTTGAAAACTGTTCATCAATTGGATCAAACTCGATGGTCTCTGCTTCCTTTTCTTCACTGTATCAACAAGAAAAGTCATATAATCAATACAATGGTGATGATTTCTTGATATTCTTACTTCGGACTTTGCATATTTTTACCAAATAGAACAACCACGTTGTTATAAGGTTGATTGGAGACGGTGCCGTGCTTGTTCTGTGCATTGAACGAATCAATTTACTCAAACCAAATTTCCATTCTATGTCTGATTGAGCCTAAAACACCATTTATGGGTTTTTGTTGTAGAAAGTAATTAAATTCAATCCGGTGTTTGACAATGACAACATAATTGGATACTACGTAATTTGTTTAAGTTTGAAATAGGAAAGAGTGAAGGTGCGTGTCAAACAACCTTTAGTTTTAGGACTGACGACCTTATGATGAACGATGATGAAGTTTGAAATAATCAATTTTTTTGTCCATATTTTAGACAAAACCTTGATAATAATTAATTGGTATCTTCCCTTACTATTTTTACTATTTTTCATAAGTAAATGATTAAGTATAATTTATAATTTGTTGTTAGGCATCTTATAGTTTAATACTAATGTAAATGTATAAAATGTTTTGCAACAAGAAAGAAAACAATACAAAACCAAACAATATAACTTATTAGTGAAACATACTTTCTTTTACAAAACCTTAAAACTTTGACAATAATTTAATGTAACTGTTAAATTTCTTAAATAAATTTGCTAAACCAAGCAAGCGTTTATTACATATTTTGGATTAAACCCTCACAGTCAGTGAAATTTAGTTGAGGACGATTTAAAACTTTAATTAATTTTAATTTCTTCAAGTATATGTTTGGCATATTAAGATCTAATAAAAATATAGCAACAAGAGTTATTTTAAATAGTGAAATTTCATAGGCGAGAGTGAATCTACGTTCAATGGTATACGTACCCAATAGTTACAATTCCAAAGATTTGTATGATTTTGGAACGAAGTTCCTTACTGCACAATATGGCGGCAGGCAGTTAACCAGCGTAAGAAACTTCGTTCCTACCAGGTCGGGTATTCCCCAACACTGCACAGCGGTCCAAGTGTTTGTTGCGGTCAGCAGGAACCTAAGATTTTGTGCAATGGGCTTTTTTTGTGATCGTTACCTGAATGCTTTGGTAAGTATCGGTCATCATAGCAATGAGAAGATTAATGAGAACAACGACCGAGACCAACATGTAAACCCCAAAAACGATCTTAAACAGAACTTCGGTCCAGGTGGGCTGGTTGTTGTGGTTGTGGGTCCAACCGTCGGTCTTTAAATGGTCGGTGGTGGTTTGTCCGAAAACCGCGAAAAATAGCAGTTCAAAAACCTGGACGGGATTCTTTTGTACTGGAATAACAGATCGAAAACAATTACCTGGATGCGCTGGTAAGTGTCAGACATCATAGCAATCAGAAGGTTTATTAATACTACAACTGAGACCAACATGTAAACGCCGAACGCTATTTTGAAGAGGCTCTCGATCCACGGGGGTCTTGCTCCCTTTCTCATCAGCAAATCTTCGTACGACGTTTGTCCGAAAACGGCGAAGAACAACAACTCGAACGCCAGTAGTGGATTCATTACCACTTGGAAAATTAAGTAGGGTCAGAAAAATGATGATGAACAATTCATACTACAACGAACACCTAGACGAACGCCTACAGGATTCTAATAGTTACGCAGACGATTAAGGCACATTGTCCTCTAAAAGGCGGCTTTACACATTTAGAACTATGGGATAGGTTACCTACAAAATGGGACACTCACAAATACACACATACATTCTTGTAGGTTACAAAATACGACAAATTTTTTACTGAAGATGTGACCATCAACATCTTTTCAAAAAGATAATCAAAATTAACAAAATCGGCCCAAGAGTCTTTTAAAGGTAGTAGTTCTTACTAGAGATGGAATATATAAAGAAGACTTACTCTATAATTACTATATGTTTTCACCAGAATGTACCCTGGATTTTGGCATTCATTTATAAAGACATATGAAGATATGAAGAGGTATTGGAAAGAATAGGAGAACAGAGGACTCTATGGAAGTCAATAAAAAATAGGCGAGATAGGTTGGTAGGACACCTTCTCAGGCATGAAGGTCTAGTCAGAGACATATTAGAGGCAGAAACGGGGGTTAAGAGGGGTAGTAGATTAGATTACTGTTCACAAATAGTTAAGGATGTGGGCCGTTATAGTTTTAGGGAAATGCGAAGTTTAGCTCAGGATAGGAAAGAGTGGAAGTACGTGTCCAACCAGTCTTAAGACTGACGACCTTATGATGATGATGATGAAGATTGGAAAAACTTTGGCAGTTGTTGTAGAACAAACTAAATAGCTCAACCCTCAACGCCAAAACACGACACTTTAGTTGTCCGAAGCACTTTTCACTTCAGTCCCTGAAGAAGGTAACTGAAAAGAGTTTCGGACAACTAAAGTGTCGTGTTTTGGCGTTGGGGTTTGAGCTATTCTGTTTGTTCTATTTATAAAGACATTATGTTTGGATAAGTCCAATTTGGAAACTACAGAATTTCGTTTTCATATCTTCACAAATTTGTCGAATTTCTTTACCATCAAAACGTAACACACAACAAGGTACATGGACAATTCTGGTTTTCCTAACTTCTAAGCGGTTTAAAATAATTCTTATACAGGGTGTCCATAATAGATACGTTATATTTATTATCAGTGCAATGTGTTACTTCTCAATTACTTTTTAAATTCAGCCTCAGTTCGCATATTAAGTTAAGGCCACCCTGTATATTAATTAGTTATTCCTACACAATACTGGAAATAATACGTTGAAAAATTTGGTAAAAGCTTCATTTAATTTCTATGAACGCACGCAGTCTACGAAGGGATGTAGGGGTTCTGGAACCTCTTCATCCATAACATAAGAAAATAGTGATTATACGAAGAAAACTGTTAATCTTTTTGGCATAAGTTGAGTTTTTATTATGCATTTAGGTATATAAATAATGATTTTATCAATGAACCTTTGGGTGACATTTATTTCCAGCATTTTTCAAATTTAAACCATTCTACCTACACATGAATTTGACAAATTCCGCACTTGGTTCTTGTGGGAGTCAACACAGAAAGCAGATTCGGTCGGCGAATACATTAACTGTGGGTTGTCCTTTATCCCACTGCACAACACATAAAGAAACACACGAAAACCTAACACAGAAAAGAAACCCCAAACTATCAACAACTTACTACCAATGGGTCTTTTTCGTCGCCGCAACGGAGTTCTGACAGTTGGATTCCAAAACGAGTCATCCAACCATTCTGCATCGTCAGGCCTATATCTACCTGACACTGTTCAAAACAATTATAAAATTTATAGAAAACCATAAACAGTTATTAATATACAACAACAATTTACACTTCCGATGGTAAAATAACTGGAATATTGCTGTAACGGTTATGAGGGTCAAATTACTATATAATTTTCCTTACCTGCGTGAAAAGGTGATTCAACTTTCTTGGGTAAGTCGGCCACCTGGCTGTCACTTAGGTTATCAAAGGGCTGATTCAAAGCGACGAAGTGCATGGAAAAACCAAACACAAAAATGGCCAAAACTGCCAAGAATCTTGCCAAGTCTTTCATCAAGTTGCCTATAATGATGGCCCAAGGCCCAAACAAGTGGTGAAATGACAAAAAGTCCAAAATTTGCACGCAAGCCAGCAGAAACGATAACGCGAACAATTGGTTCCTGCAGTACATCAGAGTTGGCCATTGATTTTTGGGTATCTGGACTAATCCCAAAACGTGCAACCCCACTCCAAAAATACCGAACAACAGAACTGATAACTTGATCCAACCGAGTCCAGATTTATCACTGGGATTTGTTAGTTCAAACAGGAGCAAACCGCTCAACCACACCAGAAGGATCCACTCGTACCAGTAAGGAATCAAACTTGCTCTAACTACAGGGTAAGGCGGTGTAATTCCTACTATTAAAAGGAAAATCATCAGGTAAACATGGGACGTAAGGAGAGACATGAACTTTATAATGGGGACCTTGTTGTATTTATGGCCTAAAGGTAAAGTGAACGCGAGCCAAACCGGAGGGCATACAATGAAGCAGATGAAAAGCAAAAGAATCTTCCACGCCGTCCAATTCAATGAACCACGCCACAGTTCCTGGAAATAAAATGGAAATTAAGTTCCAGAATTTATTTCGTAGCAAGTCTATCTTGTGTCTATTCCATCAGTACGATTTAGGCCTTCTAGTTTATTACCTATTTTTTTACCTGCAGATATCGTTGAACAACCGTATGCGCGATGACTTCCTTTTGTTCGTTTTCGATCAGAACGTCCAAAAATTCGACACTTCTTCGATCCGTTGCTGTCAAAATTTTCCCAGCGGACTCAGATCCGGCCGCTAGAGCAAGCAGTTCTGTTGCCATGGCTTCACAATGCTTTCCGGCTGCAACCAAATCTTTTGCTCTCTCTTTTTCTTTTGACGACAATGTGATAAATATGTTAGACAATTTGGCAGCAGTATCGACTGGGGCGGGTGATACCAGAACGAATTCTTCAATAGGTTTATTGTTGTGGTTTTTGGAACAGACCATCAAGTTGTAGACGAATCTCCTGTCTTCCATGAGGTTGTAAGTATCATGTTCTTTTGTCATTAAGTACTCTAGGACATCGTGATGGCCTTCGGATGCAGCAAACCAGATTGGGGCGGCTCCCTGATTTGTTTCCGATTTTGGCGAAGCTCCGGACTCTGTTAGAAGCTTGACCACGTCGAAGCAACCAGCTCTGGAGGCGTAATGGAGTGGCGTCCATCCACTTTTATCAGTTGCATTTATTTCAGCTCCCTGACCTATAGTAAAATAACACAAGACCTTTATTAAATCTAGTAAAATTGTAAAAGGAGTGTATATAAATACCCAAAAGTACTTCAACCATTTGGTAATGTCCATGGGTAGCAGCTATATGTAAACCTCTCCGTCCATGTCGGTCGTGGCTTTCCAACAATTCGGCAGACCTGCTCAGAAGGAGGCCCACAACGGTGGTATGACCCCCGTAACAAGCCAGATGCATCGGATTATATCCCTGCAACAAACTTTTACCGTTACGCAGTATTTTTTTTACGAATAGTTGGTTTAATTTACGTTTTCATGAGTAGAAGCGTCTACTTGAACCCCAGCTGAATTGAGGAGAAGTCTGACGACATTCTCGTTTCCCGAAAACGAAGCCAAATGTAACGGGGTCATTCCAGACTCGTTTCCCAATGCCGGTACGAGTGAAGCACCGTTAGGTATGTCGGATTTGACAGTTCCTGGTATGTTAGTTAATAGTTCTCTCACTGTGTCTGCTTGCCCAAAATAAGCAGCGACATGCAGGGCAGTAACTCCCAATTTCTTGCTAGACACCCTCAAGGAATTCGACGATCTGAGCACCTCCAGTACTTGCCCGTGACCATTTCGGGCTGCCAGATGGACCGCGGTAAATCCTGCTTTGTTCTCGTCAGTACATGAAGCACCTGCTCGAACCAAAGCTTTCACTACTTCAGCGTGACCTCCTTCTGCTGCTATTTGCAGAGGTGTTGCGTCAGTTATTTTGTTTCTGGCCGAAATCACTCCTTGCCTATCGAATTTCATAAGCTCTTCGATGACAGTGACACTCCCTTGAGCTGCTGCTATATGGGCGCACGTGTTTCCGTCCTTCGTTGTTGCCATTACAAGACTTGGATGCTGCTGAAGAAAAAGTTGTACAACTTCGGAGTGGTTGTTTTGACACGCCGCGTGAATAGGCTTTTGACCCTGGTCGTCTGTAGCGTCAATGTTTGCGCCCAAGTCTAAAAGGAGCCTGCAAACCTTTATTTGACCGGCACCAGCTGCCAGATGGAGAGGGGTTTGTTTCTTGAGGGTCAATATGTCTATCACTGCGTTGTGATCTTTTATCAAAAAGTTTACCAAGTCTACGTAGCCATTAAGGGCTGCAAGGTGGAGCGCAGTCCTCCCGTTTCGAGACTTGGAATTGATGAAAGCTTTGTGGGATAGCAAGGAGTCGCATACCTCTATGTAGCCCTTTTCTGCGGCTAAATGAAGAGCAGACCGACCGTCCAGGTCGAAAACGTCAACCCTGGCATGGTTTGCCAGCAAGTTGTTGATAAACTCAATGTGACCTCTGTGGGACGCAATTAAAAGTGGCGTCCACCCTATCGCCGATTGTCTGTTCAAAGCTTTTTGTATTTGAGTGGTTGTCATATGGGAAATCATTTCCGAAAGGACCTCGTTGTTGCCGGCGACAGCTAAATAATGGAAGGCGGTTTCGTGGGTGCTTTTGGTCAGAAGATTGACGTCCGCTCCGTTTTGTAAAAGAAGTTTGACAACTTCTCGATCCGAAGAAGGCACCAGGACTTCGTTTTTGGTGACGCAGCAGATGTAATGTAAGGCGCTTTCGTCGTTCTCGTTGGTTTCGTTGACGTATTGTTTTGCTGCTTCTTCGCCATGATGGGTCTTTACGAATGATATTAGATGGGCCACCACGTCCGGGTGACATCCCCGGCTTGCCAGGTGCAACGGAGTTTCCGAATTCTGACAGGGAAAAATGATAAATTAAGGAATTATTACTGAAGAAACTGAAAGGGAAACATATAAGGGGACAAGATACTGAAGTGTTTCCTTAGAATCATTCTTCAGGAAAGTTGATGGGTGACTGAAAATGAAGGAATTGGAAGGGAGTTACATCTTTTTGAATCACTGTCGAAATATCTCAACTGCAGGTGCGTTTTCTGACAGGCAAATATTGTTTAAATAAGTAACTTTATGGAACCAATAATAGATAACGAAATCAGAGACCAGCTTCATTGTTAGAAGGCGTTCCAATTTGAACAGAATAGACAGAAAGATATGTCAGGCGGATTGCTCTCTTTTTTGAGTATGGATTCAAATAATAACTGACCTTGTTTTTGAATTTTGGATCTCCACCGTCTTCCAAGAGAAGCAGGAGTGTTTGCAAGTTTCCATGATTTGCAGCGACGTGAACAGGCGTTTGTCCATCATCCGTGGTTAGATTAGGACCTGCTCCTGACTTTAGTAGCATTAAGGCGCATCTATCTCCATCTTTAACCCTAGCAGCGATATGCAAGGGTGTCTCACGTAGTTTGCCACCTACATTTCGACAATTTACTAGTTTACCTTTTTATCTCTTTACTTAATTATTCTTTTTGTTTACTTGACTACACTAATACTATTTATGTATACATACAATGTAGAATGTTTTTGTCCAAATGATTTACATACATACATAATTAGACTCATTAATAGTCGTTGGACATTATATGATTTATTCATGCAGTTCTTTTTTAATTTTAGCCTCGGGGTTGCCGCATGACATAATTAAGTTTTACCCTTGATGTCTTTTTACGGTTTTTTGCACGGTTTATTTGCCTACCTCTAACATGTACGTCTGCTCCATATCCCAAAAGTGTTTCAACAACCGCCGGCTTGCAGGATTCCACGGCAATGTGCAATGCCGTATAATTGTCCTGAAATAAACGAAATATTAAAAGTGTCGCAATCGTATAAATTCAGGGCATACGTGTGGAACTTACATTTGTTCTGACGTCCACTTTTTCACCCTTTTCCAGTAACTTATTTATAATTCCTACATGACCATATCTGGCCGCAGTATGAATACTTCTTGCGCCATCCTGAAGCAATCATTCACGTACATTTTAATTGTAAATAAGTATCCTTTTTTTATGCCTACGTCCTTCAACACGTACGTTTTTTATTCAAATGTTTTATACATTTTGTACGAAGACTTATGTAAAACCAATTATTATAAATAACCCTTGTACTCTTCCACATTTAGTTATAGAAAGATTTATCTGCCAAATGCAGATTCCAAGCATACCCATTACCTTTTCTTTGACCATTTCTTTAAACAGTACGCATGTCAGCATATTTCTTCTGCAGTTCATGAGAAGATAATAATTTGTTTTGTTTGCTCATCGTCAGGTTGTTTACAACACGTATTTGTTCACCGCNCAATAACAGCACATTTGACCAATGAAATTGTAGTGGATAAAATGGTCAATTTTTCCGTGCAGTACTGTACGGATTATACACTCCTCACCGGTTAAGAGTTTGACCGAGAGTTGTCTCCTTCCTTTTCTGGCCTAGTGCTGTTCTTTTCTACTTTGCGCCGATCAAGCTGAAGGTCACATCGCTACAGAAAGTAAACGAAGTTAATACCTTGTTTGGCATGTGTAGATAAACTCCCTTCTTGAAAAGCATCATTGCACAGTCAGCATGCCCATGTAAGGATGCAATGTGCATCAGAGTTGAGCCATCCTTGGTCCTTTCGAAGATGCTAGCTTTAAATTTGTCTGCCAAAAGCTCTATTATAGATGCATGACCATTTTCGGCGGCCAAATGCATCGGTGTACGGTCTTGTTTATCAGTTATACTTGCGGAAGCTCTAACTCCATAAAAATATTTTACCAGAGCTTCGTCCCCCTCTGCAGCTGCTATATGAAGCGCTGTTTGACCATCTCCATTTTGCATATCGGCGCTCGTACCGTAATCTACTAAAATCCTAACCTATGACATACAAAAAAATATTAATATCGTTTCTGCAGGCGGTTATAAAATTCTTTATTGTGTTGTTGTAGTAGGATCAATGCCATCTGCTTTATGACACGTTTTGATAAAAGTATATTTTTATGTACTTATAATGAATAAGATTGATAAATGCTAAATTTATAATTTAATTTGAGAAGATAATAATTTGTTTTGTTTGCTCATCGTCAGGTTGTTTACAACACGTATTTGTTCACCGCTTGTTAATTTAGGCTTTGATTGTGTTTGTGAATTTATCGATGGATTAATATATCGTGAACGAAATCCTTATTTTCGGTGACATTAAGTGAAAGGTGTAATGGAAAGGATTATGGTTCTACAACCAAAGAAAAAAGGTGAGTGAAACGTAGTCAGTTTGAATTTCGTTCTGAGTCATTGCTGTCAATAATAATTTATGTATATTGTGTATTTATTGTAATCTTTTTGTTGAAAAACTATGTGAAAAGGCAACCTGTTCCCACAGACGATTTGGAATTAAATTACGTATGATTATTATGGGTTAATGTGTTTATAATAGGCAATTAATCTGTAATTGAATAGATTAATAAGATAAACGATATCTTTATCTAATAAACACTAGATATAAGAACTATTCGTGAGTGTCAACATTGTTTCAAAAGATGATTTCATTAATTAACAACAACGAAATAACATAGGTACTTAATAGTAAAGTTTTATGGTATGTTTTCTCATTTTGAATTTGTGTTTTTGAAATAAAATTGTTGTTGGATGCAATAAATTACACTATTGCTGTAGTTACATAAGTGTATTATTCAAATTACCCGCGTTTTTATTATCATCAGATCGCTGATTAAATTTGATTGCGCCAAAAACATAANGTTTTCTCATTTTGAGTTTGTGTTTTTGAAATAAAATTGTTGTTGGATGCAATAAATTATACTATTGCTGTAGTTACATAAGTGTATTATTCAAATTACCCGCGTTTTTATTATCATCAGATCGCTGATTAAATTTGATTGCGCCAAAAACATAATTTGTTTGTAAAATTTGTACTTGAACTGGTTTTGCATGGGAAACAAAAAGGGCTGACTAATACGTAATAATTAATTCGTTGAAACGTTCATTACTGCCCTAGACCTTCGCAAAGGTCACCAGTGACCAGTGTTTAAAAAGTTTCGCTGCAAACGTAGAATAGGCCTTCAAATTACAACTTTTAGCGGCATTGAAATGTACAGTATGTTCCAAAGGCGGCTTTTAAGAAATCGGTTGACCATTACACAATGACTAATTGTATGTAATTTAGATTAGACATTATTTAATTTAGAGAACTTTAAACGTTATTGTTTAGAATAACTTTCTTTTGGTTACGTCGGACGTCCTGCAACATTATTATTTTATCAGTAACTTTATTAAGCCTTTTCCATTTTTGACGCCATTAGACGCCATATTTATATAAAGTTAAAAATTCTAGTTCTCTAACATCCTTCAAGCGAATTTTAGTTTTGATTATTGGATTAAAGAGTACCTAATGTGAAATTCATCTAATTTCTACCCTCTACAGACTACCTCAACTTAATAAGAGATTGAGACGTTTTGTGGTCCGCACTGTAATTCATACCGTAACCTTTTATAGGATATTTCTTTGTAACATTAATCGCAAGGGAATTTCTAATTATTATAGCATGCAATCTATATATCTTTAGGCAATTCCTTGAATATAATGATACATAAGCGCCAATTTCATCAGGTTACGTAATCACACCGTCTATAGAACACAGGGGCAATAAAACGTTAATTAATAATTAGCTATTTGCTAGTTAATGAATTTTTATACGGGACTAGCATACTCGGTTAGGCATCTATTTCTAGAAGAAATTTTACAAACAGATTGCGTAATTTGAGATAGGTTCTCAATGTGTTAAATTATTGTCTAACCTACAAAAATGTACTGTAAAATTATTGAAAGATCGTGTTTACGTCACCGTTATAGTCCATACGAACCAATCTATTACTAATAGTTCTTACAGAACGTTGAGCTATACTTCGTTTACTTTCTGTAGCGATGCCCTTCCAAAGTCTTGGATGCGCGCTGACAAAATCGTAGGTAGGGAGAAAAAAGCTCATTATACTCTCGACTCTTGTTCATTAAACATACTTTTTCATACAGTACCAGCCAAAAGTTTTGTTCAGCCATGAATAGTACTGCGAGTCGAAAACAAGCGTTAAAGCCTTTTATATGTCTTCAAATATAAATAAACATCTCGTTGATATTTTCAGTAGTAATTGGTACCAATAACAGCACATTTGAGCAATGCAATTGTAGTGGATAAAATGGTCA